CTGCGGAAGAACACGCTGGTCATCCGTGCCATCTCCACTCTCATCAACTACGACTACATCTGGGACTTCATGTTCCATGGCAGCGGGGCCGTGGAGGTCCGCGTGCATGCCACCGGCTACATCAGCTCCTCCTTCTTCCATGGCCGAGGCACCAACTACGGCAACAGGGTTGGGCCCCACACGCTGGGGACGATGCACCTCCACCACATCCACTACAAGGTGGACCTGGATGTCAACGGTAGGTTTGGGGTCTTCGCGCATGGCTGCGCTTTGCTGTGGGCTGCGGCTCTGCCAGGGGCACGGAGCTCAAGAGGGTTTTCCCTTCTGCTGCACAGGGCAGGTGAACTCTCTGGAGACCCAGGACATGGGGTACGAGCTCGCAAAAGAGCCCTGGAGCATGCAGAACACTATCGAGCGGCCATACCTCCGTAGGGAAAGGCTGGAGAGGGAGGACGAGGCAGCGTTCCCGCTCAATGCCCCCATGCCCCGCTACCTCTGCTTTGCCAGCCCCTTCCCCAACAAGTGGGGGCATCCGCGCAGCTACCGGATCCAGATCACCAGCTTCGCCGGGGAGCACCTGCCCGCCAGCAGCCCCATGGAGAGATCCATCAGCTGGGGCAGGTGGGTGCCAGGGCGTGCGCGGCTCCCACCCCCCTGCCGCGGCCTCAGCTGCTCCTGCCTCGCGGCACGGGGGGGCCGCTGCCTCCCAGCCAGCCGGTGTCAGGGTGCAGCAAAGGGTTAAACAGCAAACGTGCATTTTTTGGCTCTGAAAGTTCCTTGAAAAGTTGCTCAATGACATCTGTTCGTAGTAGTTCGCAGGGAGGATCTGACCCCAGATAAGATTAATTTAGAGCAATTACATGTGCTTTTCCCTGTGAGGGCAGCCAGGCTTTGGGATGAACTCCCAAGGAAAGCATTGGCATCCCCAGGTCTTGACATCCTCAAGTGAGGACAGAATGTCTCTTGGAAGAAACTTGGGATAAACACAGAACTGGCTCAGAGCCGGGGTGAAATTTAAGGGCTCATGTTCTGGGGGAGGCTGTAGGAGTTAAAAGTGGCTGTGGCTGCAGTGAGGGCGTCAGGCAGCGAGCAGCAGCGTCTGCACCTGGACACGTTCGTGTTTCCCGGCTGTGCTGGGGCGGCCGTGGGCAGCGATCCCCTGCGAGCCCCAAGGTGCCGGGGCTGCCGCCACGTGATGCCCTACAGCCCCTTCCCTCCCTGGCCCGGGCCGGGTCCCCCGGCACACGCCAGGGAAGCACCCAGCCCCGTGTGCCAGCACATCCCCGCGTGGCGATGCCGCGGCCCCCTGCCCCGCACCAGCGCAGACGGGCCCCCTGGTCCCCTCGCTGGCAGGTACCAGCTGGCCGTCACCCGGCGGAAGGAGGAGGAGCCCACCAGCACCAGCATCTACAACCAGAACGACCCCTGGACGCCCACCGTCGCCTTCGCCGACTTCATCAACAACGAGACCATCACCAACGAGGTGAGCTGGGGTCCCGGGGCAGGGGGGTGCTGGGCACTGCGGGTCCCCCCCGGCTCCTGCCTTCTCCCATCCCACAGTCAAACTGGGCGGCTGCTGGGCCAGAATGGCTCGGCTCAGCCCGATGGCGCCCGGCTCCCCTCCTGCCCAGGACCTGGTGGCCTGGATCTCCGTGGGGTTCCTGCATGTGCCCCACGCCGAGGACGTCCCCAACACGGTGACCGTGGGGAACGGCGTCGGCTTTTTCCTGAGGCCCTACAACTACTTCGACGAGGATCCCTCAGTGGATTCGCCTGACAGCGTCTACTTCAGCAGCGAGGAGGACGCTGGAGAGTGCGGGGCCAACCCCCTCGCCTGCCTGCCCCACGCCACCGCCTGCACCCCCCACCTGCCCCCCTTCCGCTACGGGGGCTTCCGCAACCTCAGCCTGGCGCGGCCGCCCGGCGGGATCTGACAGGGCCGGGGCTGTCGCTGCGCCCGTCCCTGCCGGCGAGGACGCTGCCGCGGGTGGACCCAAAGCCTCTGAGCAACGTTCCCTAGGAGTGGTTTTTGGAGACTCCATCCAGGATGCCACCCAAAGTGCTGCGGGGTGCCCGCGGCTGCTCTCCTCCTCTGGGACCGGGGCTCCCGCTGCCTCCCCAAGGTAGGTGAGTGCACAGAGGGCCAGGGCCGGGCACTGCACAAAGCTGCAGCCCCCCCTGGAGCCCAGCGTTTGCCCAGGGTGGCAGGAGCGGGTGCTGTGGCAGCCTCGGTGGCCTGGCCACTGCCTGGGGTCGTTGGGCTGAGGGGAGCCGGCGGCCTCCACCCCGGCCCCAGAGCTGCTGCAGCTCCAGGGCTGCTGGGGCCAAAGTGACTCTGAGTTCTGGCTGCTGTGGCGGTGCCAAGCTCTGGGACAGGGACAGGGCACTGGGCTGCACTGGGAACCCGCAGGAGCTGCCGGGCTGCGGGACGGGTGCTCCCCGGGCTGAGCTGCCCCATGTCCACCCTTCCCCAATAAACAGGCACTCGGGTGCTTTTTCTGACCCAACTGTTGCCTCGCTCGTGGATGCTGCTGTGACTCGTGTGGCTGGTGGCCGGAGCCCCGGCACTGCTGATACTGCGGGCGCTGGTCCCCTGTAACAGCCAGTCCTGGCTCGGGCCCGCGGGGCCGGTTCCACACCCGGCACGGCTGCGCGAGCGAGCACCGACCGTGCTCTTGGACCCCGGCGCTGGCAGGAGGCTCCCGCCGGGGAACACGGGACAAACAAGGGAGTTAATGTGTAACGGCTGTTCCGAGCCGCGTTAATCGGTTCTGGCCTTGGCTGCTGCCCGGCGTGGGGACCCTTGCTCCTGCGCCCCCAGCTGCCTGCACAGCCCCGGGCTGTGGGATCCTGCCGGGCTGGGCTGGGGACACCAGGTGCCTTGGTGAGGGCAGTTCAGCTCCAGCCGCGTGGCCTGACCCTGGCACGTGGCTGCAGATGCCAAGCGCTGCCCCGTGTGTCCCTGGGGACATGGTGGGTGTCCGTCCCCTCTGAGCCTCCCCGCGGGGGCTGTGTCTGCCCAGGGCCACGCTGCGATGGGCTCGAGAAGCCCTAAGGGCAGCGGCACGTGCCCCTGGGAGCCAGGGACGCTGGGCAGGAGCAGGCAGCCCAGGGGCATGGCTCAGCGCAAGGC